GGCGTGCCGCCTCTGGGCAGCAACGTGACGCTGCAGGTGTTCGTGCTGGACGAGAATGACAACGCGCCGGCGCTGCTGGCGCCTCGAGTGGGTGGCACTAGCGGTGCAGTCAGTGAGCTGGTGCCGCGATTGGTGGGCGCGGGTCATGTGGTGGCGAAGGTGCGCGCAGTGGACGCCGACTCAGGCTACAATGCGTGGCTGTCCTATGAACTACAGCCGGCGGCAGGCGGCGCGCGCATGCCGTTCCGCGTGGGGCTGTACACGGGCGAGATCAGCACTACTCGTGTTCTGGACGAGGCTGACTTGTCGCGCTACCGTCTTCTGGTGCTGGTGAAGGACCACGGTGAGCCGGCGCTGACAGCCACAGCCACTGTGCTTGTGACTCTGGTAGAGAGCGGCCAGACGCCAAAGGCCTCTTCGCGGGCGTCGGTGGGTGTCACGGGGCCAGAGGCGGCGCTGGTGGATGTCAACGTGTACCTGATCATCGCCATCTGCGCGGTGTCCAGCCTGCTGGTGCTCACACTGCTGCTGTACACGGCGCTGCGGTGCTCAGCGCCGCCCACCGAGGGTGCGTGTGCGCCGGGCAAGCCCACTCTGGTGTGCTCCAGCGCGGTGGGGAGCTGGTCGAACTCACAGCAGAGGCAGCAGAGGGTGTGCTCTAGCGAGGGCCCACCCAAAACCGACCTCATGGCCTTCAGCCCAGGCCTACCTCCAAGTCTTAACACGTCAGAAAGAAATGAACAACCAGAAGCAAATTTGGATCTTTCTGGTAATGTAAGTCCAACTTTCGAGTTTTGGCTTTAAATAGTTTTCACATTTAACTTGTCTAATCATCTTTTCAAATATCACTTTAAAACAATGTCTTCAAGGTGTTCACTAACGTTGAAATAAATCGTACCGTTGAATGTAGATATCCTATTAATGCCAGTTTTGTCTCGAATGGAACTAGAAAGCAAAAAAAAAAAAAAAAAAAAATGTAGGGACAAATTGTCATATTTCTTGATTATTTAAATCAAGAAATACGGCCTGGTCAAACAGTGGGGCGTTATCACTAACGTCGAGGACGGTGATCAGCAGCTCAACTGTACCCTGCTGCTCCGGTTATTTCCGGCAGGTTAAAAAAAGCTACAATACAAGGTACAATATAAGATAACGTTGATCATATTTAACACAGGATCTCAATGTAGTAAAATAACAGTGATATATTCAGGGTAACTTATTATGTTATCTTTTCTTGTAAAATGTCAAGCCCCGGACAAACAATTCTAGACAAAGTTACAGAAATCATCTGCCTTTCCTTTATGTGGGTAAGTTTCAAAGTGAACAATAAACTGAATAGTTTTAAGCAAATGTAATTTAAAATACATTAATTGGCCAGGGGCGGTGGCTCACGCCTGTAATCCCAAAACTTTGGGAGGCCGAGGTGGGCAGATCACCTGAGGTCAGGAGTTTGAGACCAGCCTGGACAACATGGTGAAACGCCGTCTCAACTAAAAATACAAAAAAATTGGCCAGGCATGGTGGGGGCGCCTGTAATCCCAGCTTCTGGGGAGGCTGAGGCAGGAGAATCGCTTGAACCTGGGAGGTGGAGGTTGTAGTGAACCGAGATCGCCCCACTGCACTCTAACCTGGGCGACAGAGTGAGACTCTGTCAAAACAAACAAAAACAAAAACAAACCAAAACCGACCAACCAACCAAACAAAAACACCATTTATTGGGCGATTTGTTTAATTTCTTTATGACAACACACAACCACGACTTCATTGTCATTGTGAACAATTTCCTGATGCCATTAGCCTTGAGTTCCCCTGGGTCTAGAAGGCTTAAGTTGCATGTATTTGCTATTTCGGGGATCCAGTTAGGAAACACTTATTAAGCACCTCCCATTCCTCCCATTCACTCACAAATGTTCTAAAACCCTTTACTTTTTAGCTCATTCAATCCTTCCTACGATTTTATGAAGACTTTAGTCACATTTTGTGGATAAAGGTGCTGAGGCTCAGAAAAACTAAGTTCAGTATTATTACTAAGTTTTCTTCAAATTTCCTGAGGATATCCAAAACTTGCTTGCTGTCATACAGTTCTTTACCTTTCCTAAAATGTTTAAGGTAGCTTACAGTGGAAGAAATTTGCAAAAGCAAATTATTAAAAAATCTGCTTAAGGCCAAAGTAAAAGATCAAGAGAAAGATGGGAGTCATTATTTCAAAAATCAAGCCTAGGCTGAGTACAAATCCCAATGCTTACCGTCCTGTAAGTCAATATAGGAGTATGAAAAATAACAATAAAAGGAAATTCTCTATACTATTTCTTCAAGAAAGAAAACAAGAGCCTCTTTCTGCTACAAAATCAAGGAAGGTTTGATTACTGATGATTGTGTAAAGGTTGAGCAATATACTGGGCAGCATGTTTTATAGCAGTTTTGCAAAACCCATGGAAATATCCTTGATGTAGACATCATTGTGTTTGCTAGTCATTCAGTCATGGGCATAATGTTAAATTTTATTTCCTATGTTTACTTCTGAAGTTACTTAAATATTAAATGAATATATTTTTATTTGTCAAACATTCAAACATATGTGAATGTCCCATTGTGAAGACATTCTATGAGAAATTAATATAATTTGCTAGTTAAGTTTCCAGAGATTTGAGTTGATACAGAGTTGTTGCTTAGAGTATTGTAAAAGAAATAGGCTGTAAGCATGTTCTGTAACTTTTAATATATTATCATACTCAGCCTTTTGGCAAGAATCAGAAAAAAAAAATCTTAGGATCATGTTGCCAAGAAAATGTCCCAGTTCCTCAAAATATGAGACAAACTTTGTAGGATTATAAAATTGGAAAAAATAGATCAGAAAAATCACAAAATAATTTCTCTTTCCAATTCACATTACTATGTCCCCAGAGCTTCATTTGCTAACAATATTAATGTCCAGGCTTAGGATTGCCTTTAGATACATTCAATATTTCCTTATTTAGTTTTCTAGGTTAGTTGAGGTTATTAACTTGAAAGTGAATCACAAATAATAGTGAATTACTATTAAACCAAAATAAATGGGTGTAGGAGTGCAAAATTTGAAAAGTAATTTTATGAAAAGGTAATTCTAGAATGGAAGAAAAGATGATTGTGGAGTGGTATTGTCACTTAGTATTTATTTTAATGTAAATATGAATGGATTTCCCATTGGTAGTTAAAGTTCTTCCTCCATTACAAATCTTCATATAGTTAACACAACTTTCAACAGGCTTATCTTTCTTCATGAGATTTCTTCCACAAACTAGTAAGGTATCATTTGAGGGACCTTAGAGACTTGTGGTCAGTGAAGGATGCAAATAGATGAAAATGAGAAATGGTTTGTGTTGGTAGCCACTACCAATATTCCTCTGATAATGCTGGAGGATTTCATTTTTTTGTTGTTTTGAAGTAGCACGATTGCGTGATTTCCTTTGGCCAATGAAATGTGAATGGTGTGTCACTTCCAAGCAGAATTATGTAACTGCCAGTGAAAGACTCTTCTGCTATCTTTTCCTGTTACAGCAATTACATAAGCACTGAGTAATTGTACATCAATTACATTGATACTGAGATGCCATAAAGTCAAAGCAATCCAGGATGCTGAGCCAACATGTGGAGAAAAGCTGTCATAGGAAGTCCCCCAAAACTACAAAGGACTCTGTAGGGGCAATAAATAAAATTAGGTTTACTTTAGAGGAAAAACTGAATGTTAACTCACAACAGCAGATGTATTGGGGTTCCGCTGCCATTAAGCTAATATGAACAGAACAAATTTTAAGAGGAGGGCATTTTTTTTTACAACAGGAAATACAACTGTAGGAGAACATTATTGTTGACACTTTCTACTAAGACATCTGACCATTAAGCAGATTAGATAACTTGAATTCCATGGAAAAAATCTACTGTGTTTTGATTACTTTTTCTTAAATATAAAAGGTAGCAGGAGAAAAATAATAAACTGAAATTTAAAATGTCATAGATATTCCTTCTTTTTTCTTGCTTAGGATCCATTCCCTTTGTTGTTTTTTTCTTCTAGGGTCTTCTAGTAGTTTTGTGAAAGACTAGGTTGAAGGTTTTACAAGAATGAGTGCGTGGACATGTAAACGTTAAGGGACATACAGTTGCGTAGATAGGTGCAAAGGGTATAATTTTAGCAATGGGTACTATATTAGTTTCCTTGGGCTGATGCAACAAATTACCACAGAGTTGGTGGCTTGAAACAGCAGAAATTTATTCTCTTACAGAGTCTCTGTAAGAATAAATTTCTTCTTTCTTACAGAGGCCAGAAGTCCAAAATCAAGGTGTTGCCTGGGCCACATTTCTTCTGAAGACTTTAGGGGAAAACTTTCTCTCGCATCTTCCAGCTTCTGGTGGCTCTTGGCATTGCTTGGCTTGTGGCAGCATAACTCCAGTTCCTGCCTCTGTCTTCACATTTCCTTCTTTCCTGTGTTACTATATGCCTTCTCTTTTTCTGTCTTTTATAAGGGGCAACCATCATTGGATTTATGGCCTTCTTTAATCTAGGATGATCTCATATAAAGATCCTCATCTTTGTTACAACTGCAAAGACCTTTATTCCAAATAAAGTCACTTATTTGAACCTCAGAAAAGTGATGTCTTTTGGGTTATCTTTGACCCAAAACAGGTACCAAGAGATATCAAGTGCAGTGAGAGGAAGGATGATTTGCTGAGCATGGCTTCTTAGTCTCTTTTCTTCATTGTGGGGGAAATATACTTGCATATCTGGCAACAGTATTCTATCTCCGAGGGAAAGGGGAAATATTCTATATTCTCAGAAATCCTAAATAACAGCACAAAATGCCTCTTATACCCCCACATATGTCATTCTGAAAATCCAGTATAATTACTTTATATGATTGCAGAAATTATCTCAAGCAAGTCAGGTTTTCTGAAGCTGGCATCTGGATTCTAGGTATAATTCCTTCTATGTGTCAACAGTGGTCAATGTTGGCCATAGATTAAACAATAATTACTGGGTGTCACACATATGCAGTTGCTTTGCAACTACATAATGCTGTAATGACCAGTTCTATAGCTATCTGCCATCTGTTTAAGCTCCAGGAGAATTTGGGTACATGCCATGACCTCCACTTTTCAGTTCACATAAGAACCAACCTCCCACTTTTCATTTCACATAATTTAGGTGGAGCTGATTTCATTTCCTGGCTTCAAGAATGAACAAATGGACCTATGTCTAGCCAATGTGAGAAAAATCACAATTATTGACTAAAGGAAATTTATATCATACAAACTGGGCTGTGGGAAGTAATATCCAGGATTTTTGCTGGACTGTTAGAAAAGGGCACTTTCTGGTAAGAGTCAATAAACTGGTAATTTTTAGTCTAGAAAGCTACTTTGGCCATTTTGCCAGCACATTGGGAAAAGTCTACCTGAGAAGACGGTCAGCAGGGGAAAAGGAATTATAAATGTGGAGATTATTTTCCTTATGGAATTATGGAAGGGTGTAGACCCAGTTCTGCCTGAAACCAGTAATCACCCACTTCCATGTACAAGTCAGTAAAGGATTCTCTGGTTTATTTTTGCTTAAATCAGTTAACTTGGGATTCATTGTTAGAGTATGATTAATATAAATACACACTTCCATAGATGGTACAAATGAGTATCTTAAGATACTGTACATGAGGGGAAAAATTGTTATTGGAAAAAAAGCCAGCTTTTCTTAACAAGAGCTTTGCTTTTCTCTTATGGACATTGCAAATTTTGCAATTAATCTTACTTTTCTCTTTGCTCTAGGAAGCTGAAAACAAAATTTGTGACATGGTTAGAGTAACTGAAAGTGACCCTTTATTATGCATTTTGTATGATATCCCACTCCTTGATTCATTTTATTTCATCCTCATCTTATCTTTATTCTATTTTCATTTTTTTTTACTGTGAAGGGATCAGTTAAAAATTAACAAGATATTCTCAAGTAATTAACACTAAAAAAAAGATAACTTGTATTGTTCTTGCATAAAAGTCTAAATGTAATGGAAAAGGAAATATTCTAAATTAATAATACATTATCCAAATGAGAAACAAATAAATTATTAATTTCAAAACATCTGCAAACAATTCAAAAATCAAAATTAAATCACAAAACAACAGTATATATATACATATATTTTCAATGGACTAAAATACCTTTGGTTACTATGTTCTTCATTTGAAGAAACTGAAAAATGCTAAATATCCAAAAGAATTGAAAGCAGGGTCTCAAGGAAATATTTGCACACCCATGTCCATGGCAGCACTGTTCACAGCAGTCAAGAGATGGAAGCAACTCAAATGTCCACGGATACTTGAATGAATAAACAAAACGTGTAAACATATGTTGGACTATTAGTCAGCCTTAAAAAGGAAAGAAATCCTGTCACATGCTACAACATGGATGAACCTTGAGGAACCGTCCACGGATGTTTGAATGAATAAACAAAATGTGGTGTATACATACGATGGACTAGTATTCAGCCTTAAAAAGGAAATAAATCTTGTCACATGCTACAACATGGATGAACCTTGAGGACATTGTGCTAAGTGAAATAGGCCAGTCACAAAAAGACAAATACTGTATGAGTCCACTTACATGAAATATCTAAAGTAGTGAAATTCATAGAAATAGAAAATAGAACTGTGGTTACCAGAGACTGGAGTGAGGGTGAAAAGGGGAGTTGTTGTCTGATGGGTATAGAGTTTCTGTTTTCCAAGATGAAAATTTCGTAACAACGTGAATATACTTAACATTACTGAAATGTACACTTAATCATAGTTAATATGGTAGTTTTTAATTTTTATGTTGTGTGTTTTTTTTTACCAGAGTAAAAAAGGGTAAAAAGGTAATATATTTTAGGGCTTAAAACAGGTATTTTTTCCAAGATGAAAGCTATGAGTAAACTTAAACCAGAAAATTGGCTAGTTTTAAATCTACAGAATGAACAATGGAGCTTTTGTTTTAGCCACATGATGTCGCTGTCCACCATAGAGTGTTCTCTAGGAAGAAAAATACCCAGAGCCCCTTTGTTACTTCAGAGAAGCGGAAGAATAAGAGAAGCAGCAGGATTTTAACAGAGACTAGAATGTTTAATTTTTTTGCAAAACGTGCTCCTCTAATTTGATCCAATTGTTGAGGATTGATAATGGCGTCTTCTATCAGACGGGGCCGAGAGGCCTGGACATGGCTGCTCTCGCTTCTGCTCCTCGCAGCCTGGGAGGTGGGGAGCCGCCAGCTCCGCTACTCCGTCTCTGAGGAGGCCAAACACGGCACCTTCGTGGGCCGCATCGCGCAGGACCTGGGGCTGGAGCTGGCGGAGCTGGTGCCGCGCCTGTTCCGGGTGGCGTCCAAAACACACGGAGACCTTCTGGAGGTAAATCTGCAGAATGGCATTTTGTTTGTGAATTCTCGGATCGACCGCGAGGAGCTGTGTGGGCGGAGCGCGGAATGTAGCATCCACCTAGAGGTAATCGTGGACAGGCCGCTGCAGGTTTTCCATGTGGACGTGGAAGTGAAGGACATTAACGACAACCCGCCAGTATTTCCAATGACAGTAAAGACTATCCGGTTTCCCGAATCGAGGCTGCTTAATTCTCGGTTTCCTCTAGAGGGAGCATCTGATGCAGATATAGGAGTAAATGCTCTTCTCTCCTACAAGCTCAGCTCCAGTGAGTTTTTCTTCCTAGATGTACAGACAAATGATGAACTAAGCGAATCTTTGTCTCTCGTGCTGGGGAAATCGCTGGACAGAGAGGAAACTGCTGAGGTTAATTTGTTACTGGTGGCTACTGATGGGGGCAAACCTGAGCTCACCGGCACCGTTCAAATACTTATTAAGGTATTAGATGTAAATGACAATGAACCAACTTTTCCCCAATCAGTTTACAAAGTAAAATTGTTAGAGAATACTGCAAATGGGACCTTAGTGGTTAAATTAAACGCTTCTGATGCAGATGAAGGATCAAACAGCGAGATTGTGTATTCACTTGGTAGTGATGTGTTCTCCACTATACAGACTAAGTTTACCATAGATCCCAGCTCAGGGGAAATCAGAACTATGGGAAAATTAGATTATGAAGAAGCAAAATCCTACGAGATTCAGGTCACTGCAACTGACAAAGGAACCCCTTCAATGTCAGGACATTGTAAAATTTCATTAAAACTTGTGGACATCAATGATAACACACCAGAAGTCTCAATAACGTCTCTCTCACTTCCCATCTCAGAGAACGCTTCCCTGGGCACGGTCATTGCTCTCATCACGGTGTCGGATCGCGACTCTGGTACTAATGGACATGTCACCTGCTCCCTGACGCCCCACGTCCCCTTCAAGCTGGTGCCCACCTTCAAGAATTACTACTCGTTGGTGCTGGACAACTCCCTGGACCGCGAGAGCGTGTCAGCCTATGAACTGGTGGTGACCGCACGGGACGGGGGCTCGCCTTCACTGTGGGCCACCGCCAGCTTATCTGTCCAGGTGGCCGACGTGAACGACAACGCGCCGACGTTCACACAGCCTGAGTACACAGTGTTCGTGAAGGAGAACAACCCTCCGGGCTGCCACATCTTCACGGTGTCAGCGTGGGATGTGGACGCGCAGGAGAACGCGCTGGTGTCCTACTCGCTGGTGGAGCGGCGGGTGGGCGAGCGCGCGCTGTCGAGCTACGTGTCGGTGCACGCGGAGAGCGGCAAGGTGTACGCGCTGCAGCCGCTGGACCGCGAGGAACTGGAGCTGCTGCAGTTCCAGGTGAGCGCGCGGGATGCGGGCGTGCCGTCTCTGAGCAGCAACGTGACTCTACAGGTGTTCGTGCTGGACGAGAACGATAACGCGCCGGCACTGTTGGCGCCTAGGGCTGGCACCGCTGCTGGCGCGGTGAGTGAGCTGGTGCCGTGGTCGGTGGGTGCAGGGTACGTGGTGGCGAAGGTGCGTGCAGTGGACGCGGACTCAGGCTACAACGCCTGGCTTTCGTACGAGCTACAGCTGGGTACTGGCAGCGCTCGCATCCCGTTCCGCGTGGGGCTGTACACGGGCGAGATCAGCACGACACGTGCCCTCGACGAGACAGACTCGCCTCGCCACCGCCTACTTGTGATGGTGAAGGACCACGGAGAGCCGACGTTGACGGCCACGGCCACCGTGCTGGTGTCGTTGGTGGAAAGTGGCCAGGCACCCAAAGCCTCGTCGCGGGCGTGGGTGGGCGCCGCGGGCTCAGAGGCTACGCTGGTGGATGTCAACGTGTACTTGATCATCGCCATCTGCGCGGTATCCAGCCTGTTGGTGCTCACGGTGCTGCTGTACACGGCGCTGCGGTGCTCGATGCCGCCCACTGAGGGTGCTCGTGTGCCAGGAAAGCCCACGCTGGTGTGCTCCAGCGCCGTGGGGAGCTGGTCTTACTCGCAGCAGAGGCGGCAGAGGGTGTGCTCTGGGGAGGACCCGCCCAAGACGGACCTCATGGCCTTCAGCCCTAGCTTATCTCAAGGTCCAGACTCCACAGAAGAGAGACAGCTCTCAGAATCAGAATACGTAGGAAAGGTGAGTCTTTTAATTTTTCTTGCCAATTCTAAAACTATTCTTTTTAAAAATTCTATATGATTTCTACTAGTTATTTAGATTCATAGTTCTTCATTTATTTTATATCATCCTACTGTGCAATATTGAATATGAATTAGAGATCAATTTCTTGCATTTACCGAACAATTTACTTAAACAATCTACGTAACTGTTTTCTTATTTTTACATTTTGGCATTTCCGTCATTAAGTCATGAGTAGTAGACCATGAAAGCCTGAAAAACACCTCAGCAAAATTTGTAAATTAAACATTCCTCTCTTTTAAAAACTGAAAATCACAATCGGAAGATATTAAAGAATTTGATTATATAATGCATATTTTCAATTGACACTGTCTATCCAATCTGTCAGATAGTGTTTGGAATAACCTATATCCTGGACATTTCTTAGATTTTCAAACTAGCTTTGGATCAACAATGCCCTTGTCTATGTAACAGTTAATAAGTTACATTTTTTTCTATATTTTTCTTTTTTCTTTAGTTGTTGTTGTTGTTGTTGTTGAGACAGAGTCTTGCTTTGTCACCCAGGCTGGAGTGCAGTGGTGTGATCTCAGCTCACTGCAACCTCTGCCTCCTGGGTTCAAGTGATTCTCCTGCCTCACAGCCTCCTGAGTAACTGGGATTACAGGCGCCCACCACCACACCCGGCTTTTTTTTTTTCTTTTTAGTAGAGACGGGGTTTCACCATGTTGGCCAGGCTGATCTCAAACTCCTGGCCTCAAGTGATCCACCCTCCTAGGCTTCCCAAAGTACTGGGATTACAGGAGTGAGCCACCGCACCTGACCTTTTTATTTGTTTTTGAAAGTAGACTGAGTGGATATTTTAATGCCAGAATTTCCAAAAGTATGTAGCACAGGTTGTTACAACAAAATGACAGCACTTAGGAATAATTGCTAATCTTAAGTATGTTTTTTTATAAGTAAAATAACCCATTATTTGATATAAAGATTTCACACTGATAAAATTTTTGAGTTATCAGGCAAAAATAGAGAGTATTGAGAAAAGAGACCCTCTCTATTTTGTTTAATTTGAAAATCTTAACATTTAAAAATCACACTGAGGTCATTCAGGTGGTGGGACTTTTTCTTCATTTAAGTGGAGACTACCCAGTCTTTATGTTAATGGTTGATAAATCATCCTTTCAGTATCATTATCATTAGGCCAATGTGTGCAGGCCTCTCACTGCAGAGAATGACTACCTTTTTCTGGCGTCTAATTCTATGCATGGGAATACATTTTCTATTAATGTGAGCTCACTCAATTTTACCTGGAAGCATCCATATTCCTAATGGAATTGGAGTTTTTCCAAAAGGTGAGGCCTGGTCTTGGATGACTACATTTTCATTTGAAACATTTATTTTGGGTAATTAAAACACTGAACTCTACAAGTAAATGCTACCCTTGGAAAGAATTTTTTTAGCTTTTCCAACCAAAGAAGATGTATTGCAATAAAATAACTGTCTTAAACAGTCCTCTACTGCTTGGTTCTTAGTTATTTGCTGTTTATTCTAAATATACGTGTATATTGATAAATCATAGAAATAACTTCCATTAGTGATCGTACCTTTAGCCATTCCATAGTTAGGTCAGAATATCCATTTCCAAGTTATACTTGACCACTATGTTAAAAGCGTAAATGATACGCTTTTAAAATTATATTCACATATGTCCAGATCTCCAGGAATCACAACCTGTTGCTCTATAGGTTTTTTTTTTTTTAATTCTTATTTACATTTTTTTCTTGGTTGTCTAAGAGATGTCTAGGTGGTAGTAGAAACTATTCACTGATACTTTATCTACAAAATGGCTCAATCTTTTAAAATTGTATTTCCTTTAATATTACCTTTATCTCTTAATAATCAGTATGGAGTCTACTCTGTTATAAATTCCCATGTGACATCCCATTCCACAATGAATATAACTCTTAAAGGTACTGAAAAGCATAGTATTACAATAAGTTGTCAAAGACATCTCATTAATATAAAGTCCATGAAATTAAAAAATTTTAAGTTTATCTCTCATTTTCAAACTAGCTACCATCTTTCAAAATTCAGCAAAGTGGTAACTGGAATATTAATAGCTATAATTATTTCTTAGTTCCATGCTTTTCAGAAATAATTCTTAAATGTTTACTTACTTCATAATATAGCACAATAGAATCAGTTAGAAATTATGTAAGTTTGATATTAACAAATATCATTAATTTAACTTACATTTTTATTGATCTTGCTTGAAAAAATTAATTCAAAATATTAATTTATTTATTCACAAAAACAACAATTGATAATTTATCCTATTCTAAATATGAATAATAAAATCTGAGTAAGTTGCAGTCCTGGCTTCCATTTAATGAGTACACAGGAAACAAAAGCTGAAATGAAAACTTTTCCCCCAAATATTTAAATCACATGTTTGATTTTATTTTGAAATGGTCTGGCTATAAGCAAAAATTTGTACATTCTTTTATTTCTCTAAATTTGACCTCTTTCCATGAATTTTCTTTGCCCCACTTCCAAATGCTGAGAGAATTCATGCTTCTCACTGAATTCACAGAGATCTTTAGAATGTTTTATTACTTAGCGTTAAATATGTTGAATAAATACTGACTTATGTTCCTAGGTTACTTTTCTCCCTTCACTGATTGGTTAAATCATCAATTCTTTCAAGTAACAACTTTTAAAGAAGCTGGAATCTAGAAATTCATCAGGAGTGGAGATAATCAAAAACATAATTATTTTATATTGCTAACATTTTAGTATATACAGGTAAATTCAAATACATAAAGAGTGTGGAGAAAATTAAACCTAATATATTCTTAATTGATGTGATATGAATGTAGCAAATATACAAATCACATTCCCACAATAGGAAAAAAATTTCCTGTTTGAATTTCTCTGTAAAGGACTGACTTCTGAAATCTTTATGTAAGTAACAGTCAAGATAGTTGATGAGGCCATAGTTCTTGAAAAAGGGGCATGGGAGGGAATTATAGACATTCTACAAATTAAAAAAACATAAATGTACATATTTTAAAAAATTAACAGTTGCTGTAATAATATAAAATAGATACATGTATGTTTTAATATACACAGCACACACACACTTTTAAATACTTAAATGTCTCAATGTTTTGATGATCATAAATCTGAAAGGATCTGATTTTTCTGTAAAATGTAGCTTGGGAGGTAAAGAGGTTAATGGTAAGTTGTCTTGAATCAGATTGAAATCCCATCGTACCAACAGTTAATATTGTTTTACTTAACCTCTATGTGTTTATAAAAAGTGAATAATATTAAAACTTATTTCAGAGGATTGTGAGAGTTTAACGGGATAATTCCATTAAGACAAGTAGAAAAGTGGCTGTCACGTGGGAAACATTTCCAATAGATGTCCACTGTTAAAACAGGAATCACAGTATTTTACTATATGTCATGAATTAGCACAATTGATAGTGAATTAGTATAAAAGTTCTAAGGAAATATTTAGGTAAAATATAAGGACTTTGAGGAGTGACCGAAGGATATTACAACTGAAACTACAAATTTTGGGAACGTTCAAACGACATACAAGGAAAAGAAGATATATTTACATATTTAATACTTACACATTTAGCCACATGATGTCGCTGTCCACCACAAAGTCTTTCTCCATAAAACACAGCGTGCATTACGTATTCAGATACTGCTTTGCTTCATCCTCTCTAAAATTTAACACCGAGGAGTTTAAGAAATGAAGATAGGGAACTCGAATTATTTTTAAAGTTTGGATCAATGTAAAGGCAATCTAATATTTGGAAAATGCTTGCAATATTCTCCTGGCGAGAAGATCCTGGAGCCCAGTGCCTGCTGCTTTCTCTTCTGCTCCTCGCAGCCTGGGAGGTGGGGAGTGGCCAGCTCCACTACTCCGTCCCCGAGGAGGCCAAACACGGCACCTTCGTGGGCCGCATCGCGCAGGACCTGGGGCTGGAGCTGGCGGAGCTGGTGCCGCGCCTGTTCCGGGTGGCGTCCAAAACACACGGGGACCTTCTGGAGGTAAATCTGCAGAATGGCATTTTGTTTGTGAATTCTCGGATCGACCGCGAGGAGCTGTGCGGGTGGAGCTCGGAGTGTAGCATCCACCTGGAGGTGATAGTGGACAGGCCGCTGCAGGTTTTCCATGTGGACGTGGAAGTGAAGGACATTAATGACAACGCGCCAGTTTTTCCAATGGCTGTAAAGAATCTGTTTATTTCCGAATCCCGACAGCCTGGCTCTCGGTTTTCGCTAGAGGGCGCATCAGATGCAGATATCGGAACTAATTCGTTGTTGACTTACAGTCTTGATTCCACTGAATATTTTACCTTGAACGTTAAAAGAAATGATGAGGAAATTAAATCCCTTGGACTCGTGTTGAAAAAAAATTTAAATCGAGAGGACACTCCTAAGCATTATTTACTAATAACAGCAATTGATGGTGGGAAACCAGAGCTCACTGGCACGACTCAACTAAAGATCACTGTTTTAGATGTAAACGACAACGCCCCAGCGTTTGAGAGGACGATCTATAAAGTCAGATTATTCGAAAATGCACCAAATGGTACCCTAGTGGTGACCGTTAACGCCACAGATTTGGATGAAGGAGTAAATAAGGATATCGTATATTCTTTCAATACGGACATGTCAACAGATATTCTGTCAAAATTCCATTTAGATCCAGTCAATGGACAAATCAGTGTAAAGGGTAACATAGATTTCGAGGAAAGTAAGTCATATGAAATCCAGGTAGAAGCCACGGATAAAGGAAATCCTCCAATGTCAGATCACTGCACGGTTCTACTCGAAATTGTGGACATCAATGATAATTTACCTGAGTTAGTTATTAAATCACTATCTTTACCTGTATTAGAAGACTCGCCAGTTAGCACAGTCATCGCCCTGATCAGTGTGTCTGACCGTGACTCAGGTGTCAATGGACAGGTCACCTGCTCCCTGACGCCCCACGTCCCCTTCAAGCTGGTGTCCACCTTCAAGAATTACTACTCGTTGGTGCTGGACAGCGCCCTGGACCGTGAGAGTGTGTCGGCCTATGAGCTGGTGGTGACCGCGCGGGACGGGGGCTCGCCTTCACTGTGGGCCACCGCCAGCGTGTCTGTGGAGGTGGCCGACGTGAACGACAACGCGCCAGCGTTCGCACAGTCCGAGTACACGGTGTTCGTGAGGGAGAACACCCCGCCGGGCTGCCACATCTTCACTGTGTCTGCGCGGGACGCGGACGCGCAGGAGAACGCGCTGGTGTCCTACTCGCTGGTGGAGCGGCGGGTGGGCGAGCGCGCGCTGTCGAGCTACGTGTCGGTGCACGCGGAGAGCGGCAAGGTGTACGCGCTGCAACCGCTGGACCGCGAGGAACTGGAGCTGCTGCAGTTCCAGGTGAGCGCGCGCGACGCGGGCGTTCCATCTCTGGGCAGCAACGTGACGCTGCAGGTGTTCGTGCTGGACGAGAACGACAACGCGCCAGCACTGCTGACGCCTCGGGTGGGTGGCATCGGTGGTGCAGTGAGTGAGCTAGTGCCGCGGTCAGTGGGTGCGGGCCACGTGGTAGCGAAGGTGCGTGCAGTGGATGCTGACTCAGGCTACAACGCGTGGCTTTCGTACGAGCTGCAGCCGGGGACTGGTGGCGCGCGCATCCCGTTCCGCGTGGGGCTGTACACGGGCGAGATCAGCACGACGCGTGCCCTGGACGAGGTGGATGCCGCGCGCCACCGCCTACTGGTGCTGGTGAAGGACCACGGTGAACCCTCATTGACCGCCACAGCTACTGTGCTGGTGTCGCTGGTGGAGAGTGGCCAGCCACCCAAGGCCTCGTCCCGGGCGTCCGCTGGCGCCACCGGCCCTGAGGCTGCACTGGTGGATGTCAACGTGTACTTGATCATCGCCGTCTGCGCAGTGTCTAGTCTGTTGGTGCTCACACTGCTGCTATATACTGCTCTGAGGTGCTCTGCGCCGCCAACCGAAGGCGCGTGTGGGCCGGGCAAGCCCACGCTGGTGTGCTCCAGCGCGGTGGGGAGCTGGTCATACTCGCAGCAGAGGCAGCAGAGGATGTGCTCTGGAGAGGAGTTGCCCAAGACCGACCTCATGGCTTTTAGCCCTAGCCTTCCTCCTTGTCCAATTAGCCGGGATAGAGAGGAGAAACAGGATGTGGATGTTGATCACTCAGTCAAAGTGAGTAATTTTTATTTATTCTTTCCAAAATGTCTTTTCATTCCTCAATGTTTCCACTATTTTGGAAATACGTTAATAGTTAAGTATGAATTATGTGATTCATAATTAGACTTTTCCAGTTTTTTGGTTTTGTGGTTAAAATGCTAAGATTTTTGTTGCTAATTTTTGAACCAAATCAGCAGTAAGTCATGAGATCCACACTTGTAATTTTGTTTGTTAGCAGGTGCAGTAGTAGGATTATTTTATTGCTAAATGCCTGGGTATAAGACAAATATTTTTTCTTAGATGAGTTTCATTATTTAGAGAATTTGATTTCGACTCGTTTTATACTTATCCCTCCCTACACAATGCTTCTTCAATATCTTTTGCCACTTTTCATTTGGACTTCCTACTTACTACCTGTTAGTACGAATGTTACTTGCTCATTTTATGAGTTCACCTAAGTGCTTATAATTCCCTATTGATTATGCTTTTCCACCTTCAGTTTCAAAAATTAGATCATTACACCTGTTGTCTTTTATGGAACCTCTTTTATTCTCTTATTCATTTGTTTGGAGTGTCAATCCTTCTTTTTCACTTGAATGTGATTCATTTTAGGCCTTGTGCTCTTATTTGGCAATACTGTTTATTGTTTGTTGATTTCCCAGTTGGGAGAAAAATCGAGAATAACAATTGCATTTAGAATTGTATTTTTGTTCATCTTTAGTTTATCACTACTTTATTTAATACTACTTTAATAATACTACTGTATTATGTGTTCAAATTTATTTATTACTAATAACTCAAATATCAATATGAAGTGAAAATTTAATAGCTCTGTAGTATATTTATATATTCATTTTAAAAGAATGTTTTAAACCTTGTTAACAATAATTTTCAATCTGAACAATATCTTGAAAATAATTATGGTATCTAATTTTAAAACTATCCCTACTAGCAAAACTTTTTATTCATTAGTGTCTTTTACATACCATACTAAGGATGTCAATATGAAATAAGTTTGATAAGCCAATGTTTTAATGTTATTACTGGTTACCTTCTCTGAATAGCATCCTGCCTATTAATGTGTGCCATGCAGTAAGTAGAAAACTCCAAATAACCAGAACCAAATAAAATTGAAGTTAGACTTTTTTCTAATCACTGCCCCTACACATTTGGTTATCTCCTCTAGCAATTAGTTGGACTCCCATTTAAGTTTCCCTACCACTGGAGAGAAATAGTAACCAGCTGAAACCTGGTCAATACTCATTGACAGTGTGGGAGGTCTAACATGTAAAATAGATACTTTTCTTGACCCTTCTCCTTCTCCCGACTTTCATTTTCTTTATTTCCTTTTTTGCCACTATCCTTTGTTGCTCCCTTGTCCATGAAGTAGTAGCCATAGTGTGTCCAACTCAGGTCAATATTTTAAAAATTTAGTTCTATTATCAGCTTCTTGAATATAATAGAGTCAGCCAAAGTACTTGTCCTCCCAGATATGGAACTTCAATCTTCAAATCCAGCTTGCCTCTTGAAATTCTTGTCTAACAAGACTCTTGGCAAAGACATTTTGAAGACTTTGGAATTTTTGCTTCGCAGATATATTGATGCTATGCCAAATAAATATTGAATAGCTACCAAATAAACATCCTTTTCTATTCTGCTGCATTCCCCATCTGTACATTAAAATACCTGGCAAATGAAAATATTACAAATGAAATGTGTGAAAATGGAATTCTTCCTCTTTTTTTCCAATGTGCTTGATGTCAATGATCATTTTGTAAAAATCTAGTTTGGGTCCCCAAATAGTGAAAGTACTCTGGTTTCTGTTTGATTCAGAAAGTTGGTGGGGTTTTTTTTTTGTTGTTGTTTTGATTTTTGTGTGTGTGTGTTTGTGTGAATGTAGCTCTTCGATAGAGAGGGAGCATAAAGCTATTCTCACTAGATTGATTTTTTGTTTAGACAAACAGGATGAGAAGAACTTTATGAATACAGGAGGCAAAGAAAGTTTTTAAATAGCTACCATTATGTCTTTATATATTAAATTTTTTATGTAAGAATAAATGTATTGTGGTTTATTTATTGGGAAGTCTTCATTCCCCATTAATACCCAGGATGATTCAAAGATCGTGATTACCAAGAATTAGAATAAAAATTAAGCTAAAACCCAAGTTTTCAACATGGAACTTGAAATACATCTTAATTGGGGAAATGTCTAGAGACTTTTTTTGTGTCTTTAGAAAATTATACAGGCTGCCGAAACACCACATTTTCCCAACTAGCTATGCGATCACCTTAAATTAATGCATTTTATTAGGAAATGGAAGGAAACCAAATCTTTTCTACAGGGTAAATATTTAGCAAATATTAAGTAAGTCCCTTTGAGCTATTAAACAATTAAGATACAACTATTCCCTTTAAAATATATATTCCAAAAAAGGACACACATACTCAAATGCTTATGAGATAAATTAATGTAATAAATGGCCCACACGATTCTACCCTGGTGCTGCAGTTTGTAAAAGAAGAAAAAATACCTGTTTAATTGGTTTAATCATGACATTCTTCATGGGTCAGGGAACTTTTAAGTGGTTATAAAAATTGGCTTTAGAAGAGTTTAGAAATGATGTGGATTACTTATAGACAGGACAAAATGAACATGTTTGTTTATTGAAAAATGTTATTGGAAGCAGGAAATATTCAGTTTGGCTAAAATATATAAGCACTATAGGAGAAAATAGAAGCTTAGGCACATTACCTATTGGAGAACAAGCAAGCACTTATAAACTGTAAGAGTCAAAATGAGAATACCAGCATCGCTCATGGGAGCAAATGAGTTCCAATGAATAAAATTATTTGGAATGCTTTTCCATGCAAGCTATTTGCTATAACTTCCTGCTTCCTTGCACTTTCAGCCGTGACATGACTCAAGGAAGACATTTAATTAAATGCTGATGGTCTTTGATTCTTTTATAAAACATCTGAAAATTTCCCTTTCAATAGCTTGTTCTTGGGATTAGAAGTTCCCTAGAGACCAGTCCCCTTAAGTCTACAACACCAAAAATACTAGGGCGAAGAGGGTGTTATCATTAATAAAAAACCCTGGAATTCTTGGGAATACAGGAATCTTTAATGGATTTTTGTAATCAACACTTTACGGTTACATGTTTACAAAGTGTGTAGTTAGGTCTCTGTAATACTTAAAGCCTGTGTTGAAAAAATTATTTCTACTGAAGTAAAAGGTGCCCCTGTGGTGAAACTAAGGACCACACTCAATCAATCAGTGGTACAATGTGTACCACAATAGTACAAAATGTATTCCTATTTTCCAAAACGGCTGAAAGAATAAATAAAACCAAGTAGTTTATAGTAGAGTGTCTGTGGATTTCCACAATTGCTACTTACGGTTTGGAGCCACATGATGTCGCTCTTTACCACAAAATACATGAGAGAAGAAAGAAGAGGGGAAAATTCCTTCTATTCTTACTGGAAGGAACTATATGCAGTCTTTGGAGTCTGAAATATGGAGGATGCAGCTGCACTTGACCGACCGATCAAAAGATTTCTCTTGACTTTGAGAAACGATATTTAATCAGAACAAAACACTGTGCACTAAAGATGGAGTTTTCCTGGGGAAGCGGCCAGGAATCCCGGCGTCTGCTGCTCTTGCTTCTTCTCCTCGCAACCTGGGAGGCAGGGAACGGTCAGCTCCACTACTCGGTCTCCGAGGAGGCCAAACACGGCACCTTCGTGGGCCGCATCGCACAGGACCTGGGGCTGGAGCTGGCGGAGCTGGTGCCGCGCCTGTTCCGGGTGGCGTCCAAGGGCCGCGGAGATCTTCTGGAGGTAAATCTGCAGAATGGCATTTTGTTTGTGAATTCTCGGATCGACCGCGAGGAGCTGTGTGGGCGGAGCTCGGAGTGTAGCATCCATCTGGAGGTGATCGTGGACGGGCCGCTGCAGGTTTTCCATGTGGACGTGGAGGTGAGGGACATTAACGATAACCCGCCGGTGTTCCCAGCAACACAAAAGAACCTGTCCATAGCGGAATCCAGGCCGCTTGACTCTCGGTTTCCACTAGAGGGCGCCTCGGATGCCGATATCGGGGAGAACGCCCTGCTCACTTACAGACTGAGCCCAAATGAATACTTTTCTCTGGAAAAACCATCTGATGATGAGCTGGTAAAAGGTCTTGGGCTTATACTATGGAAATCTTTAGACAGAGAAGAAGCTCCGGAGATATTTTTAGTGCTCACAGCCACTGATGGAGGCAAACCCGAGTTGACTGGCACTATTCAGTTACTCATCACAGTACTGGATGCCAATGACAATGCCCCAGCTTTTGACAGAACCCTTTATAAGGTGAGATTACCAGAAAATGTTCCTAATGGAACACTGGTAATTAAACTTAACGCCTCAGATTTAGACGAAGGATTGAATGGGGACATTGTTTATTCATTCTCAAATGATGTTTCGCCAAATGTGAAATCCAAGTTTCACATAGATCCAATTACTGGACAAATTATTGTAAAGGGATATATTGATTTTGAAGAAAGCAAATCCTATGAAATTATTGTAGAGGGCATTGATAAGGGACAGCTCCCACTTTCTGGCCATTGTAGAGTTATTGTGGAAGTAGAAGACAACAACGATCATGTCCCAGATTTGGAATTCAAGTCTTTATCACTTCCAATTAGAGAGGACGCTCCACTGGGTACAGTCATCGCCCTGATCAGCGTGTCCGACAAAGACATGGGTGTCAATGGGCTGGTCACCTGCTCCTTGACGTCCCACGTCCCTTTCAAGCTGGTGTCCACCTTCAAGAATTACTACTCGTTGGTGCTGGACAGTGCCCTGGACCGCGAGAACGTGTCGGCCTATGAGCTGGTGGTGACCGCGCGGGACGGGGGCTCGCCTTCGCTGTGGGCCACGGCCAGTGTTTCTGTGGAGGTGGCTGACGTGAACGACAACGCGCCAGCGTTCGCACAGCCCGAGTACACAGTGTTCGTGAAAGAGAACAACCCGCCGGGCTGCCACATCTTCACTGTGTCTGCGCGGGACGCGGACGCGCAGGAGAACGCGCTGGTGTCCTACTCGCTGGTGGAGCGGCGGGTGGGCGAGCGCGCGCTGTCGAGCTACGTGTCAGTGCACGCGGAGAGCGGCAAGGTGTACGCGCTGCAACCGCTGGACCACGAGGAGCTGGAGCTGCTGCAGTTCCAGGTGAGCGCGCGCGACGCGGGCGTGCCATCTCTGGGCAGCAACGTGACGCTGCAGGTGTTCGTGCTGGACGAGAACGACAACGCGCCAGCACTGCTAGCGCCTCGGGCGGGTGGCATCGGCTCAGTGAACGAGCTGGTGCCATGGTCGGTGGGTGCGGGCCACGTGGTGGCAAAGGTGCGCGCGGTGGACGCTGACTCAGGCTACAACGCGTGGCTTTCGTACGAGCTGCAGCCGGGAACTGGTGGCACGCGCATCCCGTTCCGCGTGGGGCTGTACACGGGCGAGATCAGCACGACGCGTGTCCTGGACGAAGCGGACGCTCCGCGCCACCGCCTACTGGTACTGGTGAAGGACCACGGCAAGCCCGCACTGACGGCCACGGCCACCGTGCTGGTGTCACTTGTGGAGAGTGGACAGGCGCCAAAGGCCTCCTCACGGGCGTTGTCGGGCGCTGTGGGTCCCGAGGCTGCGCTGGTGGATGTCAACGTGTACCTGATAATCGCCATCTGCGCGGTGTCCAGCCTTTTGGTGCTCACGCTGCTGCTGTACACCGCGCTGCGGTGCTCGGCACCGCCCACCGAGGGCGCATGCGCTCCGGGCAAGCCCACACTGGTGTGCTCCAGCGCGGTGGGGAGCTGGTCCTACTCGCAGCAGAGGAGGCCGAGGGTGTGCTCTGGTGAGGGCCCACCCAAGACCGACCTCATGGCCTTCAGCCCCAGTTTACCTGACTCTAGGGACAGAGAAGATCAGCTGCAGACAACTGAGGAATCCTTTGCAAAGGTTAGTGTATAACATCCTTTTGTTTAATTTTCGTATTGTTTTTCTCTATCAACTTCTTCGTAAATTTATTTCTAAGAACCAAATTTCCCTGGGTTAAAATTTTACCTCTTTTTACATATCCATTTTAACTAAAGTCTTTTGGAATTACAGGACATCAAAGTAATATATATTGCCTTCCTTCGTTGTATGCTGCATTATTCAATGCATATTAACAGGACTGTAATTTCTAGTAAATTTTCACTGTATTCACCTTCTTTATTTTTGGTAATACGAACATTTAGAAAACATTTTACTATTATTTAACCTATAACACATAAACA